GCAGTGTCTCCCTCTAGATGCCATAATAAAGGTGTGTACCTGAGTCTTCTCAGTCTCCTTTTTTGAACCCGTCATTGGCTTCTTGGCCTGTTGCTGATGATCGGGAAGCCAACAGTTGGCGCCAGAACAGAGACTCGACTGAGGCAGTGGAAGGAGACGTGCCCTTGAGAAGACTAGAGAAGGGTGAATAGCGGTGGTTGAAAAAGACCACGATGGGTAGGACATCCCAGTCTAAAGAGTATAGGAAGGCTCTAGAGAGTATGGGAAAGGTAAAAGTCTTTCCAGGATAAACGCAGAAAGGAAAAAGAGTAAAATGCTACACACCAGGTAATGTAACATGGGCTTGTAAGCTGGCAGCAGCTTGTACAGAACGTGACCTCTCTAGTCTTAGGACAGTAGAAGACATACAGAAGATGTTAAAGGACTTCCTTCTAAAGGGAGAATGTAATCTTGGAAAGGATTATAAGTGCACAGCCAAGACCCTTAAGGTGATTGTCTGCTGTGGGAAAGAGCTATGCCCTAGGAACACTGAGGAAGCCTGTAGTCTAAATAACATGATTGCAGACTTTCAAGACAGATGTTCATGGCTTGAGCCTTTGCCCACTACGACTGAAGAAAGAATGAAAGAGTAGGCAGCCTACCCTGTAGTAGTGCAAGCTGGAAACATAGAATATGAACCATTGGGTCCTAGCACAATTTCAGCTTGGGTAAAGCAAGTACAGGAACATGGCTTAACAGGAACCCCTATCATTACTTATTTTGGGGTAGTCTCAGTAAATCTTACATCAGTAGATATACATATGCTTCTAAATGTGATAACAGGGGCAGCATCAGAAAAGCAATTAATTCTAGAAAAAAATAAGGGAAAAGGCAGCACAGTGGGATGAATAACACCCACCCCCGCCAGCCAGCACAGCAGGACCGGCACCATTAACATCTATCCAAATAAGGGGAATAGGCATGACACCACAGGAAGCACCTGACCCTGTATTTAATAATGCCCAAGCCCTATCTAGTCAGTGGATAATGGAGGCAATGCAAGAAACCAAGAGGGTAGTTAGTGGGGCTCCAAAAGCAGTTAGCATAAGGAAAGGACCAAAAGAACCTTATTCTGATTTTATTGACAGGCTATATTCTCAAATTGACTTAGAGGTATCTAGAGAAGATTTAAGGGAGTACTTAAAGGGCACCATGAGCATTCAAAATGCCAATGATGAATGTAAGAAACTGCTTAGAAATTTAAGACCAGAAGACTCCTTAGACGACAAAATGTATGCTTGTCGAGAGTTTGGGTCCACAGACTATAAGATGGCAATGCTGGCAGAAGCATTAAAGGTGGGGAATGAAAAGGGAAGCTCTAATACATTTAAAGGAAATTGCCATAAATGTGGAAAAAGAGGTCATATGGCTAAAGAAAGTCATGGGAGGGAAGCCACTAGACCTCCTTTAAAATGTTATAACTGTGGGCTAATTGGACATATGGCAAAAAATTGTAGAAAGCCAAAAAACAGGGGACGGGGTGGGGCTTCAGGCCTCCCTGGACGATGATGGCCACAATGCTATTGGAGGAAAAACCTGGTCATATCCAACCCTCTGCCCCGACAATGAAGGAAATGCAAGCAGAAACCTCGCAAATAGGAATTTACCCAAAATTACCAAAGGACTAGACTTGGAAAAAAGACCAATGATAAAAATTAAGATGGGGGAAAAATGGTTGAAGGATTATTAGATACAGGAGCAGATTTATTTATCAAAGAAAAACAAGATCTAGAAGGAATACAAGGGGGATTAATGAGGGATGGCAATATGTAGACGGAGTAAGTGGAAGAACTAGGTTACAGAAAATATCAGGACTGAAACTGGAAACACAAAATGACATCAAACGGACATCTTTGTTAGTCTCCCCCAATATTCCAATCAACATATTTCGTAGGGATTTATTACTCCAGTTAGGAGTAGCCCTGGTAATGGCACAACTGTCAACTAAAATAGAACCAGTGAAAATAAAAATGAAAGATCCCAATAAAGGCCCTATTACTCCCCAATGGCTTTTAACTGAAGAAAAATTGATAGGATTAAAAGAGATAATAGATGCATTATTAAAGGAAAAGAAAATATCCCCTGCAGCTGCAGACAATCCGTGGAATACCCCAGTTTTTGTTATCAAGAAAAAAATGTGGTAAATGGCGTATGCTGATAGACTTTCGGGAACTTAACAAGTTAGTTGAAAAAGGAAAAGCGGTGCAATTGGGTATTCCACATCCCGGGGGGTTACAGAAAAGAAGGCAGGTTACAGTATTAGATATAGGAGATGTATACTTTACTATCCCTTTAGATCCAAGATTTAGACAGTATACTGCTTTTACAATCCCAGAAATTAATAACAAAGGACCAGGACATAGGTATGTCTGGAATTGCCTGCTACAGGGATTTATATTAAGTCCCTTAATTTATCAGACCACTTTAAGGGATATACTGGAGCCTTGGAGAAAGCAACATCCAGAAATAGACCTTTATCAGTATATGGATGATTTATATATTGGTTCAGATTTACCATTGCAGGAACAAAAACAGAGTGTCAGTAACCTAAGGAATCTACTGTTGGAACAAGGCTTTGAGACTTCACCAGAAAAATTACAGGAAGAACCTCCTTATTTGTGGATGGGATATCAACTCCATCCAGAGAAATGGTCATTACAAAAATTAGACCTCCTCGAACTCCCAGAGAGACCTTCCTTAAATGAATTACAAAAACTAGAAGGTCTCCTTAATTGGCTAACTCAAGCCATTCCCGGCATAAAAACAAAACCATTTACCCTAATGATGAGAGGTGATCAGGATTTAAACAGTAAGAGAGAGTGGACTCCAGAGGCAAGACAAAAGCTTCAAAACATTAGAAAGCTACTAAAGGAACATAAGGCATTAGCATATTGGGAACCTAGTGAGGAAGTATATTGTACTGTAATGATATCAGGGAATACATTAAATTGTAAAGTTCTCCAGGGAAACAACATCCTCTGGATAGGAAGGATAGAGTTTCCTAGAGTAATAGCAGCTTCCCCTTTAAATAGAGCCATTCGGTGCCTACACAAAGTAAGACAGGAAAGTATTATAAGACTAGGAAGAGAACCTATTTATAGGCTTCCTATAAAGAAGGAAGATTTGGATATCATGACCCAAGAAGACCTTATCTACACTGGGTACCCCAAATAGAGTGCATACATGCTCCTATAATGCTCAGGAGAGCTTTGATCAGTCTACAAGCTAAGCCAGTAGAAGGACCCACATATTACGTTGATGGAGGAAGCAAACAGGGAATGGGAAAATATGACTTTTGGACAGCTGAAGGAAAAATAATGATTAAGGAACATGAAGGGAGCAACCAAGAATTAGAAAAAAGAGCTATACTTTCTGCCCTTTAGGCAGGACCTGAAAAAATGAATATAGGTACTGATTCCCAGTATGTACGTGGGTTAACTGAGGCAAGGCCTCGGCCTGAAGACATCGAAGAACCTCTCTTGAAGACTATACTAGAACCTATAGAAAACAAAGGGGAGCTTTATATACAGTGGGTACCAGGGCACAAAGGTATATCAGGGAATGAAAACATTGACAAGCTAGCATCCACATCTTGTAGGATGCAGATACACCTAGTGGTGCAAGGAGGTAATATCTGGGAGAAGGTACCAGAACAGGTAGGATCTAAGCACCAAGGAATTTATTTCCTTGAAAACATCAAGTCAGCAGAAGAGGACCATACAAAATGGCATGGGGATGTTCAATACTTAAGACAGAAGTACAACCTTCCAAAGAATGTTGCAGAACAAATAGTTAAGAAGTGTCCCAAATGCAGTAATAAAGGAGGAACTATCCCACATCTCAGTAGATCAGGACCAGGTGTATGGCAGATGGATGCCACACATGATGAAGGAAAAATCTTTATAGTAGCAGTTGAGACATCCTCAGGACTATTATGGGCTAAGATAGTTCCAAAAGAAAACGCACAAGAAATCGTATGGGCTCTATTAGAGCTAGCTCACTTATTTCATATTACAGGATTACATACAGACAACAGGCCTAATTTTACAGCAGAAAAAGTAGAAGGGCTGTGTAAATATTTAAATATTGGTCACACCACAGGTACTCCATATAATCCACAATCCCAGGGCATGGTAGAAAGAGCAAATCAAGCGTTAAAGCAGGAGATGGATAAATTTACTGAAGAAGTACAAACTATAGAGGCTCATTTACAATTGGCTCTTATAGCTCTTAACAAAAAGAAAAGGGGAGGAATAGGGGGATACACCCCTATAGAAAGGTATATTCATCAAAGATGGCAGGAACTAGGCCAGAAATTACAAATCCAATAATTTAAAAAACAAAAAGTATCTTGTTTTTCTAGACTCCCCAACAGCAAAGATTGGAAGAGGCCTACAATTATCTTATGGAAAGGGGAAGAAGTGGTAGTTGTAGAAACCCCTGAGAAAGGGATAATTAGTTTACCACAAAGACATGTTAGGCTAATCCCAAACCCGGAAAATTAACCTTCCTACAGCATACATGAATTATCAGCTATGATTACCCTGCCAAAATAATCGCTGCATGTGCTCTGAATGCTGCTATCATTGCCAATTATGCTTTCTACAAAAGAAGTTAGGGATATCTTATTCCAGACAAAAGCAGAAAGAGATCGAGTATCGATGGCGCAAGTATTACCAATTAGTGGAGAAGAAGCAAAAGAATTGTATCAAAAACTCATAGAAAAGATGATACAGGAAGGAACATGAGAGCCCTCCATGAAGAACCTGTTTGAGGGACTCCAAAAGGAACAACAAGAACAAAAGGCAGGAGAATTGCAGGAAATAAAAGAGAAACTAACTGAATGGGAGCCAGGTAAGGTATACACAGGTAAGGAAAAATCGCGGCCTCTTATAAAAGTAAAATTCATAACCTTAATAATGCTAGTGATATTACCAGTAGTGCACTCTCAAATGTTGGGCTTAGTTGAAGTCCCTCCAGCCTATAAGGTTCCTGACGTAAGGGAAGTACCGTGGACCTGTGAGTCAAAGGTGCCAAATATAGGATGTGAACTTCCAGGGACTCTTTCCAATAAGAGGAATGGAGATGGGACTGGAGCAAGGACAAAATTAGCTTTATTTGTATTAACGGTAGCATTATGTAGCGTAATGTGCCCGATAGGTATATCGGCCAGTATATTTTTAATACACAAAAAATGTAAAGAAACTATATGCTTATCTCATGGTATGTCAATACAATAGAAAAATCTTCATAAATAAATAAGAGAAAATATTGTATAAAAAACATAAAAAGAGAATAAACTCTATTCTTCTATTTTTATTATAATTCTATAGATAGATATTGATAAATTCTCTTCACAGCATGCCCTGTGCTGCTGAAATGCCCTACCCTAAGCGTATATATGGTATTTAAGATATAATTTGCTGAAGCAAAAAAACTATAAAAGACCCTTGCATACTCTTGAAAAAAGCATACATTCAATCTTCTTTATAATCACAAGCTTAAACCACCAATAAATACTGAATTCAACAAGAAGCAAATAGAAATATCTCTCATTTCAACATCCTAACTTGAGATCTCAGGTATTCACTGGAGGCCAGGGAAGGTAAATATAGAGAAAAATTGTGGCTGGTAAATAAAAATGTAAGTAAGGAACAAAGAGTGAAGGATATAGTAGAGTAGGTTTCCACTTATTCTCCATGTATGAAGTGACAAAGTCATGAAAATGGAGACAAGCTTGCTGTTTGCTAGGGTTGGAGGAGGTTGGGGATAGAGAAGTTTAGCTGTGAGCTGAAATCAGTAGCAGAGGAAGATCTTTGTGGGGATGAGATACTTCACTATGTTGATATGTGGGAGTTTACATGAATCTACCGTGTGAATCAACACAGAAACACACAAGACAGTAATAACAGACAGCATAAGATCCTGCCTTTGAACTATAAAATAATATAAATTCTCCTCATTTAATAACTTCCTAATAGTCCAGAGTAGTTATATGAAAAAAGAAAATTAGGAAAGAATTAAAAACTGACCTGACACCCGAAGCTCCCAGGTGGCAATCTGGTCATAAATCCCAATGCTGAACCGGCACCCATACACACCAGCGTCCAAAGCAGTGACATTCTTCAGCCTCACGGAGACTTTCCCCTGTGCAATGGAACCATTCAGGAACTCAGTCCTCTTTCGATACTCTGGTGTCTGCATCGATGGTAGGTCTTCCCCATGACTATAGACGATGGTCTCAGAAGAGAGCTCTTTCCTGTAGAACTGCACTTTCATGGCTTCCGCAGTGACTTCAGGGGACAGGAAGCAGGGGAACTCTGCGTCCTCCCCACTCAAGGCCAGCATAGGACTGTCTGGTCCAATCACCTGCCAATGCTCTGTGGGAGAAAAGACAACAGATAAATAGGTGGGAGGAGGTTGGAGATTGGGGGTTACCAGAGGCTGAATGTGGAGATGTTAATCAAAGAGTACAAAGTTGCAGTTAGGGGGAATAAGATTTTTGAGGTTCATTACAGACCACACTGATTAAAGTTCATAAGAATACACCCTGCACTGCAAAATTGCTGAGTACTTTTCCAATGCCTCACCACAGAGAATAAGTGGTGGATGAATATTTTATTATGCTACATTTAATGAAACCTGCCCTCTACATATAGCAAATATTACCTTCTACCCCTTATTGGCAAACAAACGTGTTAAAATAATGGCTGGAGAGATGTTGGTTTGTGGATAATAAGCATCAGTTAGCTAGGACTAACAACTTCAAGATATCTCCTGTACATCAAGACAACAGATAATCATTGTATGGGATATCTTTCTTCCACGACCCCCTGTGGATATCAAAATCCTCCAGTTTTCAGCATCCTTACAGAAAAAAAATGGCATTATTTTCCACACAGTTTCTAGGCAATGTTCTGTAAACTTTACCTCATCTCTATATCAATGATTTTGCTGACACAATGTAAAATCCATGAAAATGCTGTTATACTATATTATTTCAGAATAATAACAACAGAGAAGCTTGCAAATATTCACAACAGATGCAGTTTTCCCCTGAATGGTTTCTGTTGGTGGTTGGTTGAATCTTCAGATGTGGAGTCCACAGATATTGAAGGCCTACTCCCTTTTATCCTTGAAAATTGCTAAGAAAGTGGATTTTTAATGTTCTTATCACATAAACAATGATGGATTTATGAGTAAATGCACCTGTTCATTAGCTCAATATAGTCATTCCACAACATGTGTGTTGGTGTGGGTATGGGTGTGGGTGTGAGTGTGTGTGTCTGAGGTGACACACACATTTGTTGTGGTAAATCTCTTTTTTTTTTTTAACAAAAAAGAGTATTGTCTTTTGACATATTATCAGCTTAGCTCCTCTTCTTGAAGGATACCAGTTCCTGGGCGCTAGACCCAGAGACTATATTATTTGTCTGCTTGTCCACAAGGACAACACAAAGGTTCATTGCAGTCCTCAGTGTAAGCTCAGATCCCCCATCAATGTCCCTTGCCAGGTAACCAGGGAGCCCTGATAGTGTGGCGCCTCTCACAGTGACTGCCCAATGTCCCAGCTACACACTGAGTCCTCCCACACAGCCTCAGTGTTTTCACAGTCCCAGCACATAAGCACCCCATAATCATGAACTCCCAGCCTCCCGTCTGTTCTCCCCACCAGACTCAGGAGTCTCCATTGGGATCTTTTCTGGGCATGGACATGAGCTGGGCAGCCATTACGCATGTCCAAAACGGTGACTAATCTCTGTTAGCTTGTTACAAGGTGCCTTTACAGGATGATCAGGGAGAAAGAAAAAAATGACCCCTCTTTTTTTTCTCCTCTAGTTGGGTGGATACATTATCCCCCCATGGGGCTCCAAGCCAGATTTCCTCTAGGCTCTCCCTGCAGCTTTTTTGCCATGAATTCTGGTCTCACCTTGCACTCCAGTGCTGGTGCAGAGGCTCTTGGCTGCTGGGGTACTAAGTTGTACGTGTCCTCACCATCCACAAAGGTCCACTGTGTTCCTCCAATTTCTTTAGAGTTTTCCCTGCTGTTTCCTCCCTAATTTTTCTCCCTGACTGCACTCTTTCTCTTTTTTTTTTTTTTTACACTACCTTTTGGAGACTTTGTCTACATGAATGGGAAATGGCTTCAATCCATTCAGACATCAGAGTATTGAGGAAGAACTGAATCCATAAAGGCCTCCATTGGAAAGGGGCGTGTCTCTCCGAGTCTCAAGGATAATACTGCCTCAGATGCTGACAGATACGGTTCTAATTCAGGCCCTAAATTTATGACCAGAAGGCCACTTGGGAGCTTGAGTTGTCAGGTTAGTCGTTCTTTCATACTTGCTTATTTTGTCCAACTCCTATAGACTCTATATTTTTGTTTAGTCAGAAAAATTTTTACCTTAAAATATGTAGTTCAAAGGCCAGCATCTTCTGCCATGAGTCATGTCTGATTAGTGTGTGTGTATCTGTGTGATTGTATAACACCTGAAGATTCATGTGCACATCAACATAATGAACTATTTTGTCCCCATGAAATCTTCTACTATGACCTCTTTAAACTCATCAAACTATACCTTCCCCCTTCTCGATCTCCTCCTAACCTAGCAACTAGTGATGTGCTCCCCATTTCCAAAACTTCACCATTTCATCTAAAGTAGGTGACACTTTGAAACTGTCTCTTCCACTCAGGAACATGCCTTTGAGATCCAGCCAAGTCATTTTTGGGTATTATTAGTTTGATTCATTACTGCAGAATGTGGAGCACTGAAAGGAGCACAGAACAGAGATCTCTGGCCACACCCACCACACACCTCTAGTTATTTCTGAAAGCAGACACTCCACTAATCCACTCAGACATAGTCCAAAGATAAGTGTGGCAACAGAGACAAAACAAAGAAACCAAGGAGTATCTCCACAAAATGTTGAAAAACAAAAGCCCCAATTCAAGAAATAGGAATAAGGAAGACCACATGACAAACCCAAAACAACACAACACTTCAATACTACATTGTGAACATTATGAGATGGAAGAAAAGCCAGAAAAGGAATTCAAAACATAGGCATACTTAGAAGTAATCTGAAGCAAATGCCTCAATTAATGAAATCATCTGTACATGACATGAAAGAAAACTCCCACAAAATTAGATCTTAAAATGAAATCTTGGTAATGATTTCAATAGAACAAATGAAATACGGTGCAAAAAATTAAAAACAGAATTAGTGAGGCAGCAGAAAGAATATCTTACTAAGGAGACAAAGCACAGGAAATTACACAGTCAACCAAACAAAAAAAGAAGAAATTAGAAAACATTGTTGGTTATCTACAGGATATTAACAAATGACCCAAAATATGGGTTCTAGGGGTTCCTGAAGGCACGGAAAAAGAAAGGATTAGGAAGCCTGTGTAGTGAAATAAAAACAAAAATAAATAATAACAAAAAACAAGAAAAATTTCCAAATTTGGAAAAAGAAAAGGATATCCAAGTACAGGAAGGACATAGAACTCCTAGTAGCCATGACCAGAAAAGATCTCCACCATGACACATTGCAATCAAATTCTCCATAGTAAAAAATTAAAAAAAAAAGATTTTGAAATATGCATGAGATAAATGCCAGATTATTTTCAGAGGATCTCCAATTTGAATCACAGCAGACCTCTCATCTGAAACCCTATAGTCTAGGAGAGAATGACAACATACATTCCAAGCCTTAAAAGACTGTCAACACAGAATACTATACCCTGCAAAGCTCTCATTTATGAAAAAGGTGAAATAAAGCCCTTCCATGGCAGACAGAAGCTAAAAGAATTTGTCACCAGCTGTCCAGCCCTGAAGAAGATACTTAAGAATGTGCTGCAAACAGAAATACAAAAACATGGTCATCACTATGGAAGAAGGTAAAGGAAGGAAATGTCCCAGTAAAAGTACAAAGGAAATCCAAAGTAAAAAAAAAGGGGGGGGATAGGAGTATTTATGGAAAAACGGCAGGGCAAAGTTGTTACTTATCCAAAGAAAGCTTAAATGTAAATGACCTCAACAGCTCTAGTTAAAGACACAGATGGTTTGAATGGATAAAAAAAAAAACACATCTATTTACTGGCTACAAGAAAGACATCTCACTAACAAATACGGAAGCAGACTGAAAGAGAGGATGGAAAAAGATATTCCATGCTAACAGAAACCAAAAAAGAGTTGGTGTAGCCATCCTACTATGAAACAAAAGAGACTTCAGCACAAAAACTGTTAAAAGAGACAAGGACACTATGTAACGATTAAGGGGTCAATTCAACAAGATCTAACTATTATAAACGTATATGCACTTAAATATAGGGCACCTGGCTATGTAAAGAAATGTTAAGTGATCAAAATGGAGACATGGACTCAAATACAAAAGCAAAGGGGGTTTCAATACCCCACTTACAGCAATGAACAGATCAACCAGACAGGAAATCAGTAAGAAAACATTTTATCCCTCAGAAACCTGAATATAACCCTGCCATACAACCCAGCCATACCACTCCTTGGAATTTACCCAAAGGAAATTAAATTGGCAAACAAAAAAGCTGTCTGCACATTAATGTTTATTGCAGCTCAATTCACAATAGCTAAGACCTGGAACCAACCCAAATGCCCATCAACAGTAGATCGGATAAAGAAATTATGGGACATGTACTCTATAATACTACACAGCAGTCAAAAACAACAAAATTCGGTCATTTGCAACAAGATGGAGGAATCTGGAAAACATTATGCTGAGTAAATTAAGCCAGTCCCAAAGAGACAAATATATGTTCTTCCTGATCGGAGACAACTCACTGAGCACCAAAGGGGAAACCTGTTGAAGTGAAATGGACACTATGAGAAACAGTGACTTGATCAGCTCTTGTCTTGACTGTTGATGTACAATGTAATACTTTATCCATTTTAGGATTTTCTCTTTGTTTTGTTCTAGTGCTATTGGTTGAACTTGTGATTAACACACAATTATTCTTAGGTGTTTAAATTTTAACTGAAAAGTGATCTGTGTTAAATATAACAGTGGGAATAAGAGAAGGAGGAGATGTACAATTTGGGACATGCTCAATCAGACTTGCCACAAATGGTAGAGTTAGAATCATGTCAGGGCATCCCAATACAATCCCATCAAGGTGGCATGTACAAATTCCATCTCACTAGTCCAAGTGATCAATTTCTATTCACAATTGATCAACTGATAGGTCTAAGAGTCAAAGGGATCACACGAACAAGACTAGTGTCTGCTAATACTAACCGATATAATCAAAAAGGGAGAGAACGATCCATCATGGGAAGCGGGATACACAGCAGACTCATAGAATGGCAGATGTCCTAAACAGCACTCTGGCCTCAGAATCAGCCCTTAAGGCATTCAGTTCTGGATAAAAAGCCCATTAGAGTATTTCAGACATGGGAAACCAAGACACTGTGGCAACAAAACAAAATGACTTAAATTAAATATCTCTGTGAGTGAGATCCAAATAGAAAGAATGGGCCATAAAAGAAGGAGGTGCATTTCTTTGTTTTGTTCTAGTGCTATTGGTTGAACTCTGTGATTAACACACAATTATTCTTAGGTGTTTAAATTTTAACTGAAAAGTGATCTGTGTTAAATTTAACAGTGGGAATAAGAGAAGGAGGAGATGTACAATTTGGGACATGCTCAATCGGACTTGCCACAAATGGTAGAGTTAGAATCATGTCAGGGGATCCCATGAGAGTATTTTAGGCATGGAAAGCCAAGACACCATGGAAAAAAAAAAAAGAAGACCTAAATGAAAGATCTCTGCGAGTGAGATCCCAGTGGAAAGAACAGGGCCATCAAAGAAGGAGGTACCTTTCTCTGAAGGGAGGAGAGAACTTCCACTTTGACTATGCTCTTGTCTAAATAAGATTGAAGTCGGCAAACTCAAAAGGCTTCCATAGCCTTGAAAACTCATGACTAGAGCCTAGGGAGATTACTATGCCATAAACAAGAGTGTCAAATTGTTAAGTCAACAACAGGATTCACTGTGTACTTACTCCTCATGTGGGATCTGTCCTTAACGTGTTGTCCAATGTGAAGTAATTCTATAACTAGTACTCAAATAGTATTTTACACTTTGTGTTTCTGTGTGGGTGCAAACTGATGAACTCTTTACTTAATATATACTAAATCGATCTTCTGTATATATAGATAATTGAAAATGAATCTTGATGTGAATGGAATGGGAGAGGGAGCGGGAGATGGGAGGGGTGTGAGTGGGAGGGAAATTATGGGTGGGGGAAGCCATTGTAATCCATTAACTGTACTTTGGAAATTTATATTTACTAAATAAAAATACAGAAAAAATACAGAAAAAAAAGAAAACATTAGATTTAATCAACACCATAGACAAAATTGACCTAACAGATAACTACAGAACTTTCCATCTTACAGTTGCAGAATACACATTTTTTTCACCAGTTTATGGAACCTTCTCTAGAATTGACCACATGCTAGGCATAAAGCAAGTCTCGCCAAAATCAAAAAATCACAATCATGCCATGCATCTTTTTGGACCATATGCAATGTAGCTGGAAATCAACAACTCAGGAATCTCTAAAACAGAGAAAATGTGCTCCTGATTAAACAGTGGGTCATAGAAGAAATCAAAAGAGAAATCAAAAAAAAATCTGAAACAAATGAAAAAGACAAAAAAAGGAAAAATATTCATTGTTATTGATTGGAAGAATCAGTATCAACAAAATGTCCATTCTTCTGAAAGTAATTTACTTGGCTCGTGCTGTGGCATAGTGGGTGAACCAGCAGCCTGCAGTTCTGGCATCCCATCTGGGTGCCTCTTTGAGTCCTAGGTTCTCCACTTCCATTCCCGCTCTCTGCTATGGCCTGGGAAAGCAGTAGAAATGGCCCAAGCCCTTGGACCCCTGCACACACGTGGGAAACCTGGAACAAGCTTTAGGTTCCTGGCTTTGGATCAGTGCAGCTCTGGCTGTTATGGCCAATTGAAGAGTGAACCAGTGGATGGAAGACCTCTCTCTGTCTTGATCTCTCTCTCTCTCTCTCTCTCTCTCTCTCTCTTTTTATCTGCCTCTCCTCTCTCTGTGTAACTTTGACTTTCAAATAAGCAAATAAATCTTTAAAATAAAGAAATAAATAAATAAATAAAAACTCATTCCATCTTGAAAAAAAGGAAGAACTTTACAGATTCAATGTAATACCAATCAAAATATCAAAGACATTCTTCAAAGATCTAAAAAAAATGATAACATCCCTAAGGAAATACAGGAGACCTTGACTAGCTGAAGCAATCTTATACAACAAAATCAAAGCTAGAGATATCACAATACCAGATTTCAAGACATACTAACATGCAATTACAATCAAAACAGCATGATACTGGTCCAAAACAGATGGATAGACCAACGGAACAAAGTATAAACTTCAGAAATCAATCCACACATCTACAACCAACTTATATTTGACCAAGAAGCTAAAACCAATCCCTGGAGCAAGGACAGTCTCTTCAACAAATGCTGCTGGAAAAAACTGGATTTCCACATGCAGATGTATGAAGCAGGACCTCTACCTTCACCTTTTATAAATATCAGCTCAACATGGATTAAAGAACTAAATCTATGAGCTGATACCATCAAATTAATATAGAACATTGGGGAAGCCCTGTAAGACATTGGCACAGGCAAGGAGTTCTTGGAAAAGACTCCTGAAGAACAGGCAATCAAAGTCATAATTAACTCATAGTGTTACATCAAATTCAGAAGCTTCTGGACTGCAAAAGAAAAGGAAAGTGAAGAGGCAACCAACAGAATGTGAGAAATTATTTGCAAAGAATGCAACTGATGAAGGATAAATAACCAGAATATATAAAGAGATCAAGAAATTCCACAAAAAATGAACAACCCAGTGAAGAAATGGGAAAAGGACTTAGACAGACATTTTTCAAAAGAAGAAATCCAAATTGCCAATATACACATGATAAAATGTTCAGGATCACTAGCCATCAGTGAAACGCAAAACAAAATCACAGTGAGGTTCCACCTCACCCCAGTTAGAATGGTTTAGTGGATTAGGGGAGTGTCTGCTTTCAGGGAATAACTAGGGTGTGTGGTGAGTGTGCCACAGTAAAATGGAACTTAGTGTATACCCAGTAATAAGCCTAACTTTAGGGATCTTGGCGGGTATGTGAGGGAGAAACTCGGAGGAGTGGATCTCCTAAAGATCAGATTTGCAAGAGATAGCAGGTGTTTCATGAGAAGTAATAAAACAAATAAGTCTGGGTTGGTCTTGACAATTATTTCCAAAACTTAGCAGAAATAAATGGCATCACCCACCTGAGAAAGAAAAGGATGCTGTTTTCCTCTCACCCAAAAGGGGGTTGCTGATGGAACAAGTCACATTCACAATGGAGCTCCTTGTCACCAATAAAGCCGTCTCCACATGGAACAGCCCACGGCTGTCTTGACTCAGGGCCTCAGAAAACGACGGCATTGCCTCTCCCTGTCTGTCCATCCACTGCACAAGGGGCTGTGGGAACCACCCGTCCGAAGTGCACATCAGCTGCATGTCTCCATCCTTCAGTCCTTCCATGGTGATCAGTGGGGAAGAGCCCACTCCTGGGGAAGAGAGATCTCAGATCTACAGTCAGTGACTTCCCTGGGAGGGAGGAGGGGACTCAGAGGGCTTGCGGGAGACAGCAGATCTTAAGGGGCAATCCGCTCCACTCAGACAAAAGCAGCTGGAGCATGTCTTGTCTTGTTTGTAATTTCTGTTTGGGTATTGTTGTTATTGTTGCTTTGCCAAATCACCCTCGGATAGATTAATAAGTAAAACACAATTCCATACCAAACCTTTTTCTTCTGTCCCCGAGAACAAAATAACTTTACCAAGGCATGGATCACATGTGCAAGATAAAACATAGTAAGAGTGTTCTCTCAAACTCTTAAAAATATCTACGTCCATTGGCAGAAAACAACGGAGCCCATTTACTTCTTGATGTGTCCTCCTATGGGTAATTGCTAAGTGTGCTTTCTAATTTAGATTCAAAATGCATGGGAGGAACTTGTGTAACATCCAGGATTTTGGCCTGTCTTCAACAGCATTTGCTATCCCTGGAAATCAATTCTCACAAATATCAGCAGTGAGGCGGGAAGTGGTTTCATCTTCTCCAACTCTGGCATGCATGCCAATCTTCATTTTTGTTTCCATGATAGATCTACTTTTGTCTACAAATTATTACACTTCCTGATAATCGCATTTTTCAGAAATTTAATAACAAAATGAGAAATAATGAGTTCTGTGTAAAATTAGGGAGTAGATGTCCCTAAACATATGGTTACTTTATGGACAGATTGAAAAGAATACAAGTTCTATACTCAAAGAATTAACTTTGGTCCATTTAAGCTTGTGATCTTTAAGTGTCTGTGACAGTTCTGGGCACCAGAGGATTCAATACACATTTGATAAGAAAATTTCAAATGCCAGAGAAATGTCCTAGGAGTTAGCAATATGTTAGAACCCAGGACACATGTCTAGAATCCTTACCTACCACCTTCAGATCCATGCTGGCCTCCTGGTAGACATCATCAATTTCAAAAAGGCACCGGTACTGCCCATCATCTGAAGTCCTGGCACCATGTATCTGCAGTGTCAGTCTCCCCTCGTGGATCGCATCACCCACCAGAGCAGTCCTCCCTCTGTATTCCACCATCTGCTCTCCAGCCACATGGTCCCCGTCCACATACACATGAACAGCGGGGTAACGGTGGGATCGGACCCACCTCACCTCCATGTTCTGTGCATTCACCTTGGGGGACAGGTAACAGGTTAACTCCACATCTTCTCCCACCCTGACAAGGATGGGCTGGGAAGGCCCAATCACTGTTAGGGAAGCTGGTAAATACAAAGACAAAACACAAAGGAAAGAATAAAAGTGGAGTAAATGCTGCCACCTGCACCGACATCTCCAGTATTCAAGAACACCCCGTGTAATGTCCAAGGCTGGCTTTTGAAAAGATGAGGGTTTCACAGACTCAGTATAGAGGTCATTCTTGTCCAAGGAAAAGCCATCTCATGATGTGTGCCAATCCCAATCACTGATTGAACCACCACTCACCCCTGCCTGTAATTTATTCAGTTTACGGATCAATAATAAAATAATTCCATCATTAAACATCACAGGATAAAATGAACACTATCACTTCAAATCTGGATGATATTAAACTATTTCTTAATATGTCTCTCACTTTCTTAAACTATAAAAATGTCATATTATTGCCAAAATCATTCAGTTGCTGTGAGATTAAACAAAATGACCAAGATAAAGCCCTTGGATCACCATACAATGTGAGCAGAGGAGTATGGGCAAGATGCAAATGCTTTAAACTTGATAATTGGGAAGGAGTTGTAAATGGGTCTCCTGTGGATTTTTAGTAAGATAATTGAAGAAATCTTCCTCATGTTAGTATTTCTGGTACCTCATAAGTCCAGTCCAGCCACCATATTTTATTTCCCCAAGGTTATATGTATGTGAGTTTAAAGACACATACCAGATACAACGTCCTCACATAATTTAGAGTAAAACCTTAAGAGGAAGAATTGGGGCTCTTGACAGAACGCAGAATGCAGTACAACCATGAATCCAAGTTCTACCAGTATGGACAAGATCTTCACTGAGGGCTTTCCTGGACCACAGCTGTATAACAATTTCAATTCCCACAGGCCGTGCCCTACCAACTTTGCTCTATTATAATTCGAAGGTTGTCATTTTCTGACAAATGTAAAGATGGTTTAATACATGCTGAGACCACTTACAATAGAAATACGGGCATACAGTTTCAGATTCTCTGCACAGAAATCAATGGCCAAAAACATAACGTCCTTATTATATCATAGTCAAAATCTGCAAAGCGTATTTCTAGAGAAGAAATTCACTGTCAACACAATTTTAGCATTCAGATTATTCCCTTCTAGTCCATCTAAAATGTGACTCCAGTTATTGCCAATATGTTTTTGCTTTATCTTTTAAAATTTACCAAAAGCAATATTATCATCATCCCATGTATATTTGTTAAATCTGAAGACAAGGGTAAGAATCAGAAAAAAATAAACTGAGCAATAGTTTGCTACTATTTTTTCACCCATAAATCTCAAATTACTTAATGGAAAAGGCCATTTCTTCTTCTCTGTCATTGTTAGGAGGATTTTTCCCCTTGTCTGTGACCTGTGGCACATATCAAATCTCAAACCAGTTTACCCTACTAGACATGGGTAATTAAGAGCAAATGTTAGGCCAGTGCCACGGCTCACTAGGCTAATCCTCCGCCTGCGGCACCGGCACCCCAGGTTCCAGTCCCTGGCTTTGGATTGGCGCAGCGCGCTGGCTGTAGCAGCCATTTCGGGGGTGAACCAACAGAAGGAAGACCTTTCTCTCTGTCTCTCTCTCTCTCACTGTCTAACTCTGCCAGTCAAAAAAAAAAAAGAGCTAATGTTGGTTTTAATGGGAACTAAAGGAAGCAAAATATAAATATGGAATTCAGTTAATTGGGAGTATTATAGATATAGAAAGCTCCCATTTCTCCTGAATTTAAAGTTTAAAGTACTAGGTAAATCATTATATCTTAATATTAATAATTGGTATTCTATACAAATATGATCACCTGGGGAGCTGTATATAATCTCCTTTTCCTATAAATTTTAGCATCCAGCCTTTCACACCATTAGTGCTCAGATTTATTGTCTGGTTTTTTAATATTGGATGTATGTTCCTGAAATCCTTCTGAATACTCACCTGAAAATTAAATCACATCTGGCATGTGAAGTGCACTGAATTGTGTGCTAATCCCCTGAAACCGGACAGTCTTGTCATCCTACCCTCCCTGTGCTGTCAATCAGCACCTTCAGTGACGTGCTCTCATCACTGAATGCAAGTTGATTCACCTTACATCCAGTGTAGTAGAACTGGGCACTATCTTGCAACTTAAGTTCAATCTGTTCATTTTAAAGAAGGGAAAAATAGAGACTAGTGGGTTGCCAAAACTGTGGTGACCAAGAACTTGCACTCTTAGGTTAGATAGACAATGATTATAAAGGAAAACACCAGAATTTCTTACAGTTTTCAGCAAACCACACACGCCTCTAAGATTGCTTCCTAAATAGAAAATGAGGATAAATCTGTTAACCTTTATAACTATAAGAAAAAATGAAACAATTCTTACAAAGCACTTGGCATATTGCTTGGAACATAATATTTCAAGTAACCAGTCACTGTTTTTTACAAACCAATAGCATATTTTGCCAGAGTAGGAACTGGAGTTTTAGTTTCAGGACCTGTGAGCAGACTGGGTTTGCAGCAACCTCGTGTGTAGGTCCTTTCTCTTGGCCTCTAATTCATGGCAAAAGCACAGAGACAGCCACAGAGCACCTGGGCCCTTCAGCCATTCAGCACACCACCCTCCAAGCTCCTGGGGCTCAGCCCTTCTCCCCCAGCCTGACAGTGGGCAAAATGAAGCTCAAATTTTCCACCTTGTTTGTGTTCCCAGAAGTGAGCATGATTTGGGAAGAACCCGACAGGGATTGCATTTTGTGTCCCTGGTTTACAATGGGCATGTGGAGGTGGCTCAGAGAACTCAAGGATGATTCTTTTTATTTATTTTTTTTTGACAGGCAGAGTTAGACAGTGAGAGAGAGAGACAGAGAGAAAGGTCTTCCTTCCACTGGTTCACCCCCCAAATGGCCGCTATGGCTGGCGTGTTGCGGCTGGCACGCTGCGCCGATCCGAAGCCAGGAGCCAGGTGCTTCCTCCTGGTCTCCCATGCGGGTACAGGGCCCAAGCACTTGGGCCATCCTCCACTGCATTCCCAGACCACAGCAGAGAGCTGGACTGGAAGAGGAGCAACCAGGACAAAATACGGCGCCCCAACCGGGACTAGAACTCGGGGCTCCAGCGCCGTGGGCAGAGGATTAGCCTAGTGAGCCACGGTGCTGGCCTCAGGGATGATTCTTTACCTCAAATCTCACTGTGGGACAACAGTTGTGTCAACCTACTCCAAACACCAAATTGAAGTCCTGATCTGTAACTAACAAGCTCCATGGGTTAAGGTTTCTGTCAGAACAGGCAGAAGACGAGCTGCCTTAGACGGATAGGGCTCACAGGCACCTGTCTGTCCCCAGAATATGGAGTTACCTTTGACCTAAGGCCCATTCCTTATCTTTATGGTCTGATGGGGTCAAATGTTTCACTCCAGAATCTAACAGAAATCAGGGTGTGTTACCCTGATCTTCCTCAATAACTCTCACACAGACTGAAAGGAAAGGTATACTTAAGCTCTACTGACACACACGTGGGGGCACACACACAAATGCACACACATTCCTGTGACAGGTGTCTCGATGGAGGGTGGGTGGGCATTTATGGGAGAAGGAAATGAGTGACCCAGGTTCATATGCACTGGGGCAGAAGCAGCCACCATGGGCTGGTAGAAGAGACCTTGGACAGGAGTAAGGCGTGTAAGGTGGGAAAACAGAAAATGAAAGAGGTTACAACAAGTTATTTTTTAAACCACTTAACTGCACTACAATAAAATAAGAGCAACAGCCCAACCATAAAGTTTAAAAAAATGCAAGAAAGTTATCACCCCAGTCATAGGGTGGCACCTGGGAAAGAAAGTAACAGCCTCCTCTCTGTAGTGATGAATTCGGGGATCTACTGGGATGAGGAGCAGGTGCAAAACCCATGGCAGGGTTAGAGAGTGGAGGCAGTGACCTCCAATTATGATGAAGACACCGCCCTTTCTCACTCTAGGAAAGTTTGAAAATGGCCCCCAGGGCTGGCCAACTGCCAGGTGCCATTGCCAAACACTCAGAAGGCAGCTCTTTCGTCTCCTACACGGAGCAGAGGTGGTGTCTGTGTCATCTAGGTGTCCATCTGAGGCTCGCTGGAACCCCCCTGGCAGATACACAGTGGGAAAGGCCCTAAAGGAGACCGTGGTAGCCTGCACTTGGCCAGTCCCACCAATATGAACGGAGCCTAAGACTTGTTGAATCCATGCCTTGGTTTCCCATTTGGGTTACAGGGTCTCAGCCTGGTGCCACAAGCTGTGTGTCCACAAGGCTCACCAGGCATGGGGGGAGGGGCAGGTCCTACTCACCCATCTCAGACTGGAGTTTCTCTGGAAAAAGAATGAGAATAACATATTGAGGAAATTGGTCTGAAAGAAAGGAGAAAAGTTATCTAAAAAGATAAAATAAATCAAGTACAGTAAAATGAAACAAAGCAAGTTCTACATTTCATTGGAGAGTTCAATATGCAATGTGAAATGATGAAAAATATTGATTTTTTTACCACAGATCATCTAGTATTCCTGCTAGTTTTCCTTTTTTCTGAACAACAAAAAAATGCTCTCAGTATTATCACCCAATAATTCTGTTTGTTTCTGCAGATATTTAACTACCAGTTATAAAAAGCATACACATTAATTTTGTAAATACTCAGAAAATATAAAAATATGAGGACATAAACTTCACATTTGTAATTCCAAACTGAGACATTATAAGCTCATGTATGTATATATATATATTCACAAATATATTAGTCTGATTCATGTAAATGAGTAAAGAAAAATTAAATGTTAATAGTTAATATTTTATAAATATATATGTCTTCTTTTAACATCAACACATAACATTTAATTTTTCTTTTCTCATTTACATGAATCAGAATAATAAATACAGCCTCAAAAATCTTAATCCAGTTTTGTGATTCAAAGTCAATAACCTATGTGATTCAAAATATCTATTTATAGCTATATAGATAGATATGATCTTTATCATTAAATAATTTTTCAATAGGATTAAGCCACTAAAATTATTTGAAAATATTTTTGTTATTTTTATAGTGACATGAGAAATTTAACACTATGTCATTTTATTGGGTTTTCTTTGGTTTTTGTTGTTCTTGTTGTTTTATAAGTGAGAACACTATTAAGATGCTATGTAAATAGTTTTCTCCACCTTGCTTATTTTTGTCTGATAGGTCCCTAGGCCTAATTGGCAGAATGCAGCATAGGAAAAAAATTCAGTTGAAGGAATATAGTTTTGTTTTCCTAAGAATACTTGTGGTTAAAAAATCAATGCAGAAACAAGGTAGAATTTGAAAATAACTGCAGTACTTTCAACAGTTATTTAGTCAAAATACAGTGCATCTATTCCAATTATAAATGTTTTATAGGTTTTAATAGAGATTACTAAACGTGAGATTTGTCCTGACCAGAAACACAGGCGCCATGGCTCCCTGAGCAAGCTGGTCCCAGGGCGGAGCACTGACCTGAGAGGGCGATGACAGACACCTTGTCCTGGATGAGGACAGGGTTGTGGATGAGGCAGGACACGGTCTCTGCGGAGGCATCCCTGACCACAAGGGTGGCTTCCACGTAGAACAGACCATGTTCATCTTGGATGTGATGCTCAGAGACAGACAGCAGCTGCTCTCCCTGGCCATCCTCCCAGCGCACCTGCGGCTCCGGGAACCAGCCCTTTGCAGTGCACACAAGCTGCACTCCACCCCCCACAGGCCACTCCATGTGGATCCGTGGGGCCGACCCCAGGCCTGTGGAGAGAAGTCACAGCCTTGAGCCCCAAATGATGGCAGCACAAATCACATACAGTGGGATCCCAGTGATGCTGCCCACGGGAGAGGGTGGGCGCTCAGGGGCCAGGGAAGTAGAAGGTGGTCTAAGGCGTTCTTCTCATCAGATCTAGAGTTCAGGTCCACTTCCTTCATTCTCCAGTCAGTATCTTTTCTTTTTTAAAAAAGATTTATTTATTTATTTAAAAAGTAAAGTTACAGAGGCAGAGAGAAAGACTTCCATCTGCTAGTTCACTCCCCCAAATAGCCAGCCAGAGCTCGGCTGGTCCAAAGCCAGGAGTTCTTTCAGGTCCCCCATATGGGCTCAGGGGCCCAAGGACTTGGGCCACCTTCTACTGATTTCCCAGGTCACAGCAGAGAGCTGGATTGGAAGTGGAGCAGCTGGGACTCGAACCAGTGCCCACATGGGATGCCTGCACTACAGGAGCAGCTTTACCCTCTATGCTACAGTGCCAGCCCTTATAGTATCTTTTAAGTTCAGCATCTGAGTGCATGCTTCTTCAGATGCAGACAGGGGAATAGGAGACAGGAGATACAATAACATTTTACTTCTTTCTTTAATACAGCAAACAAAGATGTGTCATCACTGACCCATGAATTCTTTGATGCCACTAACCCTGCCTTTTAATCTTAATATTATTTGTATCAGGCACTTCTTTTTGACATTTCAGATGATAATATGATCTAATTTAAACAATATGAAATTGTTTATATTTAATAACAATATTAAAGATAAAGTCACAAATCACCTGAAAGAGAATTAATCTCCTCTCTCTCTGCTTTTTTTGTGGGGGGAGGTTGGTGGTAGTGACCTTGGGATAGACATAAACTGCAGTGTGTGGAATGCAAGTTCCATGCAGAGTTCCTTGTGTCTAGATATCCCCTTCAATGGCAAGAGTGGCTTTGAGAAATCCTACTTTAGGATAACTTACAGAGCCATGAAGTTCTTTCTCTGTCCTACACTACACTTCCCAAACTCAAAGGGAACTATATTTTCACAAAGTACCAAAACCTGTAAAATACAGCAAAAGCAGTATTAACAGGAAAGTTGGGGGCTGGTGTTGTGGTGTAGCACGTTAAGCTGCCACCTGCAATGCCAGCATCCAGTGTGAGCACCAGTTCAAGTCCCAGCTGTTCCAGTTCTCTGCAAATGCACCTGGAAGACATCCCAAGGACTTGTGCCCCTGAGCCAATGTGAGAGATAGGGACAGAGTTCCAGGCTCCTGGGCTTAGCCATGGTAGATCTAGGCCACATTTGGGGTGTGAAGCAGAGAATGGGAGAATACAACAGCATTCTTTAGAACCTGCCATTCACAGGGTGTCCCTACACCTCCTGCAAGTGCCCCGTTTGTTGAATGGTGGAGCACGAACATCTCTGTGAGAGCACAGTGTTAACCTCTTCAGCCTCATCACTGGCTCTCTGACCAGGGCATTGACAAAGCAAAGTTCTCACACCTCAGTCACCCCAAACAGAAGGACTCTCCAGAAAGTTCACAGAAAATGCCTATCGTGAGATTACCATGCATAGATTTCAAAAATTTTCCACCAAAATAAATTAAGCTTTTAATTCCACTTCCATGGACTTTTTGAAGTCCCCAAGGGGGATAAGGAACAACTGCTTCCACTGAGACACAGATGAGGAGCAGGAGCTGGGCTCACTCACTCAGCAGTCGACTTGCTCTGGCACACCAACCTTAGGTGGCACAAGCTCTTACCTCAGAAAAACTGCTAATGAATGGGGTAGGTGCTGCAGCTGGCATGTTAAGCCACTGCTTGGAATGCCCACATTCCATGAGGCAGTGGGGTTTGAGTCACAGCCACTCTGCTTCTGATCCACCACCCTGCTTATACACATGGGAAGCAGTAGATGATGGTTCAAGTACTTGAGTTCCTGCCATTCAGGTGGGAGGCCTAGATGGAGTTTCTGGCTTCAGCCTGGTCCAAACTGAGCTGTTGCAGCCATCTGGGGAGTGAACCAGAGATGCAAGGTGTCCTGCCCCCATGACTCTGCTTTACAAACAGGTAAATAATTCTTTCAAAGTTTCTAGGAACTACATGTTTTATATTTCAAATAATCCTCAAGAACAGTCAACTGTGTAAGTTTTAAATTTGGAAGAATATTTCACAAGTGAGCTTGTTTTAAAGATTTCAGAACCGTTTCAAGTGCCTCAGAGTAGACTATGGGGCACCAGGAATGGCTTTGATGACTCAAAGGGAATTCTTCAACTGGCAATAACCTTTCCACATGTTAATAAGCTCCTCTCCAGAATCCTATGTCTTTTCCTAGATATTCACCTGCTACTTTGAGCAGCAAGCTTGTTTCACTATAATAGTCGCCCTCTTGGAAACGGCACCAGTATTGCCCATTGTTGGAAGCCTGGATGCTGTGTATCTTCAGAGCCACACGTCCCTCTGCGATGCCATCTTCTATCCACTCGACTCGGCCTTGGTACTCCTCCTTCTGCACCTCAGTCATCCCAGCTCCATCCCGGTATGCAATTACAGGTGCACTGGGCTCTGAGTGGTACCACCTCACCTCCGTGTGCACCGCAGTCTTCTTGGGAAGGCGCTGACAGGTGAGTAGGGCCTCTTCCCCCACCATAGCCACAATAGCATGGGAAGGACCAGTCACTCTGAAGTCATCTACAAAGCAGAGCACAAAAGAGGAAGTGTCAGCCAGAAGCGCCAGCAGGAGGACCAGTGTGCTTGCCTGTGTTGTCCAACCTACAAAGACAGAGAGGGGTGGGCTTTGCTCTCAACGTTTTAGAGAACTCCACCAGGATTCTTTGTGCACTCCTTTGTTACAGTCACAACCTTGTGTACTGAAAGAAAATGTAGTTCAAAAATTTGAGCACAAAAGCCAAACCTGTCACACACTAGCTGGACAATTTGGAGCAAATCTATTATTCTCAGTAAGTCTCTGAGGTTTATGATCTTAATTTCTTCATCTTTAAGACACTAAAACTATCATGTCTGGGTTGTTTTTGTACTCAGGGAAGTTAATACATAAATTTATTTATTTATTAAAAACTTATTAGTGATTAACATTTTAATTAGTTTCTTAAAATTTAGATAAGGAACTCATCGATTAGTCTTTTTGGCATCTCAGGATCACTCACTCTTGTCTAGGTAAGGAAATGAGATTTTCTTTTTTCTTATCCTTTCTCTAAAGAAGGTGACTGCAGTGACTGAATTAAGTACAATGCATGGTCCATGAGGACTCTCTGTGGTGGGTTAAGCACAGTGGTCCATAGAGAGTTTGAGTCCTCCAATCCAATTCTAAATCATGTCTGACCTTCCTTGCTACCTGCACATCAGAGATGTTTAATATTGGCACGCGTTGTTACTTTCAGGACCTCGTCTGTCATTTATGCTGTGCTCTTTCTATCTAAATGCCCCACAGCCACCTGACCTTTGTGCACACTCGTCCTCCAGAGGCAAACCTTTCCTTGTCAAATAGATGCTGCTCAAAAAGTCATCATTAAACTTGGGTGGAGATCTGTTTGTATTTTTTATTCCAAATATGAAGCAAGGGCTGAGGCTATGCCAGTCCTTTACAGACTAGGAAACCACAGCATGACTGAGAGAGAGGACGGCGGCCTCAGAACCTCACAAAACTTCCACGGCACCAAGTCTGCAGTCCACCTTCTGACGTCTTCACAGGATGTGTTTGTTTGTTTGTTTTTTGTTTTTTTTATCAAATTGCCATTCTATGTTTTCCTTGGGGCTCTGATTTTTCTCTCTGACATCCACATTTCATAATTTTATTTCAACTTCAAGGTATAACATTTTGACTGACAAAATTCAACTACTGGGGCCTGTGCTGTGGCACAGCAGGTAAAGCTGCCACTTGCTGTGCCAGCATCCCATGTGGGTGCCAGTTCAAGTCCCAGCTACTTCTCTTCTGATCCTGCTCTCTGCTATGGCCTGGGAAAGCAGCAGAAGATGGCCCAAGTCTTTGGGCCCTTGCACCCACGTGGGAGACCCCGGCAGAGACTCCTGGCTCCTGGCTTCAGATCAGTGCAGCTCTGGCTGTTGTGGCCAACTGGGGAGTGAACCATCAGATGGAAGACCTCTCTCTCTCTCTCTCTCTCTCTCTCTCTCTCTGCCTCTCCTTCTCTCTCTGTGTAACTCCAACTTTCAAATAAATAAATAAATCTTTAAAAAACAAGTCAACCACTGAGGCTTCCAAGTCCATTTCTTGGAAGTCTCCTTCTAATTTCTTATTTCCAAGCACTTTTATGTTACTGAGTTCATGGTATGAGGCTGGCATTGTGGTGCAGCAGGTTAAGTCGCCATTTACAATGCTTGTTACCTCATATCAGAATGCTGGTTCAAGTCCTGGCTACTCCACTTCTGACCCAGCTCCCTGATAATGCACCTGGGAAGACAGTGAATGGTGGCCCAAGTGCCCTGTGGGAGACTCAGATGGAGTTCCTGGCTACTGGCTTCAGCCTGGCCCAGCCCTAGATGTTTTTGGCCATTTGGAGAGTGAATCAGTGGATGGAATCTCTCTCTCTCTCTCTTTCTCTCTCTCTCTCCTCTCTACTCTCTCTACTCTCTCTCCTCTCTCTCCTCTCTCTCTCTCTCTCTCTTCCTTCCTGACTCTCAAATAAGTAAAAACAAAATCTTTAGAAAATAAAAAAGAAGTAGCTCTTTGTCTTACCCCCAAGTTCACGGAGGTAGGAGAATAGTTGAAAACACTAACAAGTTCCAGCCACTGGTCAGGCGTTTCTCATTCATGGTCTCATTTGATGCTCAACCTTCAGGTGTACATACTGTCATTGTTCTGACCATAAATGTGGAGAAACCAAAGCATAAGAGGCTCAGATAACTTCCCCAGGGTGACACAGCTGGAAGTGGAGGAGCCCTTTTTGGAACTCAGGTGCTTTGGCCATTGGGCCCACGCTCTGAAATCTTGTGCCAGTCCTTAGGACTGAGCCCCAGGACTGGATCTCCAGAGCATTACAGTGTGTAGAAAGGGGAGAAGGGGATCATACCTGGAGGCTTCAGGGTCAGCAGGATGAAGAAGAAGGAGGCAACCGCACCAGACAGACTGTACTGCAAGAAGTCCAACATCCTGCCTGGAGCAAGCATGAGAGAGCGTGAGACCCAGCATCCGTGGCTTCCAACGGCTGTGCAGTCTGAACAAGGAATGAGCATCCACCCCTCTACTGTCCAACAGGGAAGCAGGCTTGGCTCCCGGCTGCCTGGTTAGGGAGCACATTTCTCCCTTACCTACAGTATTACACTCTCAGCTATGTTTCAGGCCTTTTTTTTTTCAGGTAATCTTTTCTAGGATGTTAGGTAGAATAGGTGTATGAAGGACATTTTCAACTTGGTATTGTCAATTTACAACAGGCTTATTAGACCCACTGTAAGTCAAGGAGCATCTTTATATAACTATTTATTCAGTGCCAAGTAAATAAATATATCCTGATCTCTGACTTAATAGGAAAATATTCATATAAATTGTGATACATATTTTGAAGGAATAAGAGATTATCAAGAATGAAAAAAGTGGATTAAAGGGTTTCCTAAACGGAATTACTATTTAAGCTGGCACTTCAGCAAATTCATGGATTTCTTCACATGAACAACATTGGAAGAATGCTTCAGTCAGAAGGAAGTTTATTGTATAACCAGCCTGACTCAGGAAAGAGCTTGTTGAATCACAATTAGAAAAATATAATAGGAGTACATGAGAAATAAATGATTTGGTCACTATATAAACCCATAGAAAAATGATACTGAAAAGGCTTAAATGTAGGCAAGCACACAGTGACTGAGAAGATGACAAGACTTAACTCTTAAGAGAAAGAAAAAAAATAACAGGCTATTTACAGAAGGGTGGAAGACCTCATCCTAAAATACACGACGCTGAGGATTGTCAAAAGCAGTCATCCTGACTAGACTCTGGAACAGACGGTTACCTGAAGTCCTGTCCAGCTCTGGACTTCCACTTCCTCATGTGGCTCCTGGAACAGAACACAGGTTGTCTTGCCTACCCTTTGGTTGTCTTTGTCCTATTTCCTTCCTTTGTCCTTACACCGCGTTTCCATCTTTCTTAGGGCCAACAAGCCTCCCTGACTGACTGATCTTTTCTTCCTTGTTTTCCCCACCCCTGCAGTGGATGTTTCTCTGGATAAAAACACAGCTCACCGTAGCCTCACCATATCTGGGGATGGAAAACGTGTTTCTTTGGAAAAGAATGTTGTTCCTCCAACAACACAGGGGACAGGAGGGTCTGGAACCATCTTCAGTGCTGTGGGTCAGAATTGCTTTGCCACAGGGAGATGCTATTGGGAAGTAAAAGTACTTGGGGAGAAAGAAATGGGACATGGAGCTCGATGGGCTCTGGGTATTTGTCCTGAAACAGTGAATAGAGCAGGGTGGTTTGTGGAAAATACAGAGAAGAATTTCTGGTTGGTGGCCTACAAGGAAGGAAAGGTCACGACCCTCACCTCCAAGCCAGAGTCTCTGTCACTAAGAAGTTACCCTGAGAGGATAGGAGTTTTCCTGGACTGGGAGGCTGGGGATTTGTCCTTTTACAACATGGTGGATGGGTCCCACATCTATTCCTACACTGGCATCAATTTCTGTGGGAAATTCCAGCCTTATTTTAGCCTGCAAGGTGCTGGCACATCTATGACCATCTGCTCAGCTTCGGGTCAGACTGAAAATGTTCCCAGTTCTTCTGCAGAGACATCAGTAACTCACTTAAGGAATTGTGATACAGATGTCCCCCAAGAAACTAACACTCTATTATCTCCATAAGAAATAAAGTGTCAGCCCACAGGTACCCCGACTGCTTCTACTCAAGCTTCTTACAAGTGTGTTTTCCAAAAAGCTGTTCTGGGTGGAGTAGGTCCATTTCAACCCCTTTCAAAGAGGAAGAGGCAGAAAGAGAAACAGGGAAACTAGGAAAAATCCAGGGGGGATTTCCTGTACAGTTCTCAATGGGGAACAGCAGTGTCTTTGTGGACAGCAAGGTTTGTTACAGATAACGCCAAATAAGTATATGAGTCTTAAACCGTTGCTTAGTATGTGTTTATGCAAATACATTTAATTACATTGAAAAAATACCATGTATATGAGCAAAATTGACATTTTGAGATTTGATTGTTTCTAGCCCTTGTCTATACTCTTGAGGAACAGTGGTTTTTCTACTGACTACTTGTTGAGTTCTTTATTTAGTGGAGGGTTAAGCTTGTGATTATAAACTGTATTAAAACTATGTCATTGTGAAATTTAAAAGAAAACCAGGGGGAGGGAGGATGGGAATGAGGCAGGGAGGGAGGATAGGGTGGAAAGTATCATTATGCTATTAAAACTGTACATATAATAATATCTAAAATCTGTTCCTTTTATATAAATAAATAGTTATAAAATGAAAATATATATCTTCTTTTTTTGCTGTTAGATGTGGAGGAGGTTGATGTTGTAATGGAAAGGTCACATTTCAATGAATTCTCAATACATGTTACCACCATTGGAAATAAACAGAAATCTGCTAAACTCCATTGAAATGTAATAGCTCGGCTTGTGTGTTCTTCAGTTACCAGTGCTCCATGGCCTTCTAATGTTAGAGTCTGCAAGGGGCAAAGTCCAATACAAAACCATAAATCAAGTCTTCTGAGTGGAGTGAGCCACTTTCTTTAGCAAATTCCCACTGTTTAATAAGTCCAAAATTGCATCCTTTGTGAGAATGTGAATGGCAAAGGAATTTGTATTGCAGTTTATATTTTCAGAGAGAAAATAGCTAAGTAGGAATGAAGAAACGACCATATCCTTATGGATAAAGAGTCACTGCAAATATTACAACTTTTCTTTTTGACCATATTCTGTCCACTGTATGGATTTCTATTGGTCTTTACTGCATCCAAGCCTTCACCAGCTACTTAGCACCAAGGTTATGCCTTCAATGATATGATATATGAGCTTCTGTTGTTAAATGAATGCTGCTTTGTGGATAATAGAAAAGATACACTTAGATTTTTCTACACTACTGACAGATCTTTAAGCTAAATTCTGAGAAGGTGTAGCCTCTTGCTGAAATTTCTCTATGCATAGTCACTAAGTGGTATTGAATACAGTATTTGTACCTGGGAAGAATCAATACAGAGCCCTGAATCCTAACTTCCACTTAAGTAAAGAGAGGGCCTACACAGAGGTGATAAAGGCAGAAGAGGGGTTAATGAATGGTGGGAAAAATTAATAGGTTAATCAAATTAATGTGGTAAGGAGGGATTTCTGGACAACAGACTCTTGTACACAGGTGTCACAACAACAAATGGGAGTGAAACTATAATATAGAACAGAGACAATAATGGGTTCATTTAAGATATTTTACTTTTTAAAAATAAAATTATTTATCTATCATTATTTAAGAGGCAGGGGAAAGAGAGAGAGAAAAAAAGATCACTCCCCCAAAGACCTGAAATAGCCAGGGCTAGTCCAGGCTTAAAGTGGGATCCAGGAACACAACCCAGATCTCTTGAGTGGCTGGCAGGAGCGGAATTACCTAATCCATTACCCTTGCCTTCCAGGGTCTGCATTAGTAGCAAGTTGTAGCCAGGAATGAGAGCTGAGAACTGAACCCCTCTCTTTTGTGAGAGATGAGCATCTTAACTGCTAAGCTAAATGCCTGGACCCTGAATATTTCACTCTTGTTGTACTCTTTGGAAATTCAGCATGAGATTTCCAAACGCATTTTTTTAAAACTTTTATTTAGCAAATATAAATTTCCAAAGTACAGTTTATGGATTACAATGGCTTCCCCCCCCATAACTCCCCTGCCACTTACACTCCTCCCATCTCCCGCTCCCTTTCCCATTCCATTCACATCAAGATCAATTTTCAATTATCTTTATATACAGAAGATCGATTTAGTATATATTAAGTAAAGATTTCATCACAAGCGCATTTTTAGAATCTCTTCTGCAGGGACCTAAATTCATGTTTTATTCTACAAGACTCTTCTACCCATCACATCTCCACTCATTTTAATGGGATTATGCCTTTCTGGAGGTGGACAATGAAAGACATTGTGAAGGTAGATGTCTTGTTTGATTCAGAGTTGTAGCAATGTCAGAGATACCAATGCCTGCATTAGCCTCATCTGTAACTGTGGGTAAGTTAACAAGCAGGGAGAGGTCTCCAAATAGCTTGTAGTTTCTGGAAAAGTAATGACCATAAATTCATCATCTGGCTTATTCCATTAATTCTTCATTGATGGACAACTCTGGAAATCTTATTTTAAACAAGTTTATTACAATATGACAAGACATTTAAAAACTGAGTGACGACTAGAATGGTCAAATGCCTAAAACAAGAATTGTGTCTTATGTAGGATTATATCTCTATAGGTTGTATCTAACCCCAGGATGCAGTGAGCCTAAAGGTATGGACTCCTGCTTCTGGAGGTTGGTGCAATGATGATATTTGCCATTTTCCAAGCAGTGGGAGTCCTTTATTAGGACTGGCAATAAGCAAACCTGTTACACATTTGTTATTCCATTTATGTGAAATAACCAGAATAGAAAATTTCCTAAAGACAAAGGGTAAATTGGTAGTTGCCAGATGCTGGTGGGAAGAACAACTGAGGACCAACTACTTAGTGGGTATGGAGTTTCCTTTAGGGGATGATGAAGATATTCTCCAACAAAATAACAATGGCGGTTGTACAACATTGTGAATATATGGAATAGTACTAAATTGCATGCTTTAAAATGATCCAAATGATGAATTGTACTTATTTTACTGAATTGAAATTTTTTAAATAAAATAAATATGTAAACACTTGTGGAAGAATAATACATATACTCCATATTCTCACACCCATTGCAATATGGGCTACTGTCTAAGTTCACCATGCACTGGTTACCTGCTTATCTGTGCCCAGTGAGATGGGGCACACACACACACAAGAGGGTATGCAAAGTGGGTCTGTTATTTACAGACAAGCAAGGAGGGACAGAAGGAGCCATGGATCCATTGTGAGCCAGTCTCAAATATAAGTTCATAAGGGATGCAATATCATTAACCGATTGCTAGATATGGAAACTGAGGCAAAGAGAGGTTGTGCAGCTAATCAGATGTCATATTGTGATCAGTAGGTGGGTATCACAGAGCTTGAACTAGGACATATCCCTGGCAGGATCAGCCTTGGATCATGTTGGCGGCTGGAGTGAGGGTAAAGCACTCTCAGTTCCTTGATGATCACGCAAGCCCCTTTCAAGCCGTTGATAACAGGAGAAATACATCTGGGAATCAGAATGCAACCCTGATTTCCAGATTCCAAGGTTGTTGAAGAGGTTCTCCTCAGTCTATGAAATACTCTGGAGAACCAGAGAATGCGGAGCCCCAGAGCAGGAAGGTTTGGGGCAGGTGCAGATGTGGTGTATGTTGGTCATGTTGTGCAAGGAGAGGTGTTTGAGATCTAGTCAAGGAGATTCTGACCCATGGACGTTCTGATCCATGAACCACTTTCACGCAGAGATTTGGAGAATGGATGATGGCTCAGTATGCACTTCCTTTTTAAAAAATATATTTATTTACTTATTTGAAAAGGAGAGAGGGAGGATATATGTATACATGAGTGTGTGCATGTATGAAGAGAAAAAAAAGAGACAGATCTTTCATACCTTGTTCTATTCCCCAAATGGCTGCAACAGCCAGGGCTGGGACAGACAGACGCCAGGAGTTTGGAACTCCAACCAGGTCTCCTATGTAGATGGAAGGGACCCAGGCACATGGGCCATGCTCTGCTGCCTTCCCAGGTGCATTAGCAAGGGGCTGGATTAGAAGTGGAGCAGCCAGGACTCCAACCAGCATTCTGATATGGGACATCAGCATTGCAAGCTACAGCTGAACCCACTGCACCACAATGCTGGCCTCCCAGTCCTCATTTCCATAATGATCCACTGCAATAGACCTCAGTCTCACGTGACACAGAGGTGATGCCCTTCCTCACAACATCTTCCTTTACAACACTGGGGAGCTTTCCTCTCCTGTTCTCACCCTCCACCTCTCAGTCCCGCCTCCCTGGCTTGTGTGCCTCCTGGCCCTGCACGAGGAGCAGGTAGTCAGATCTCTGTTGGGTATCTGGCTGTCCAAATGTCCATGGGTCATATCCGTGGTTTCCTCAGAATCAATCGATCTTGAGTGTGCTGTATTTAGATCTGGTATCACATTTGCTGTAAAGAAAGAAAATCTGTGATAATGACCCAATAACAGAAAGTGTCAACTTCAAGCCATCAACAGGTAAGCATAAGTCTCAGTGACCCAAAAAATTTAAAGTGAAAGAACTTTCTGGAGCACACAAAACAGCTTCTCTATCCATATATGAGAAGTCCTTATCAGCAGAGCGGGAATCACCAATATGGGGGTCACCACGTGTACAAAGACCTTAATGAAATGAAAATGCCCACGCCAGCATTTCCAAGCTTTCAGCTTAGAAACAAGGACAACTGTGCACTAACCTCTTCCTCTCCCTTTACTAAATCACTGGGGAACAGACAGTAGGAAAGCAAATTGCTGCTGCTTAGTCCTTTGGCTTCTACCACTGCTGCAAATTCCAATCTCATGCAGCACTGATCCTCAATTACGTAAATGGAAACCATAGATTTTGATGTCTTGCTAATTACTAAATATTTACTGAGTGTCTGTTATGTGTGATGGCTGAAAAGAGAGGCCGGCAAGAGGGAGTAGTGAGCTTCCCACCACCAAGTATACTGCACCCTGCCGCTCTTCTAACTTACCTTTCTTACGGCTCTTCCTCCTACTCAGGCCTACAGCCACAACAAGAAGCAATCCCAACATAAGCAGTATGATCCACAACAAATTCATCCTGGACTCTGAAATGGAAACCCCAGAGCCCCATTAATGAAATGGGAGAATATCGAGATTATTCTTTTCATCTGAGTGGCTCCCTGCCTGGAGAGGAGATGAGAATTGGGCCTCTTGAGGAGGCACTTGGTCCACTCCTGCCTGCTCCATGGATGCTGAGGAGAGAACACGTTTGTGTCTTGCTTTAGTGCTTACTCCTCTCAGAAACACACATGCAACACCCACAAATGTTTCCCCCTATCTTTCCCAACTACATCACACCATCCCTGGAATAGCTGAAGTGCAAAAGGATAAAATCGCACAGTCCACAACCATGAACAGGCAATAAGGAAAATTGGGGTTTTTTTCCAAAAACTTTTAAAATTTGTCTACTTTATGAATTCAAAAGGCAGAGAGGCACAGAGATCTCCCACCTACTGGTTCGTTCTCCAAATGCCCATAACAGCTACTGCTGGGAGCTGGGAACTCCAACACTCACTCCCAGGTATATGAGCCACCACCTGTTGCCTCAAGGATGCACATTAACAGGAAGCTGGAATTGGAAGTGGAGCCAGGACTTGACCCCAGGCACTCCAATAAGTGATGTGGGTATCCTAACCAAGTGTTCCTTCCTGGAAAATTGATTTCTGATCTGCAAGAAAACTCACCATGAGGGGAAAACACAAGCAAAGTGCTATTTATTTCCACAATAGAAGAAGGGATTTTTCAGATACAGTAAAATGGAACTTAGTGTATACCCAGTAATAAGCCTAACTTTAGGGATCTTGGCGGGTGTGTGAGGGAGAAACTCGGAGGAGTGGATCTCCTAAAGATCAGATTTGCGAGAGATAGCAGGTGTTTCATGAGAAGTAATAAAACAAATAAGTCTGGGTTGGTCTTGACAATTATTTCCCAAACTTAGCAGAAATAAATGGCATCACCCACCTGAGAAAGAAAAGGATGCTGTTTTCCTCTCACCCAAAAGGGGGTTGCTGATGGAACAAGTCACGTTCACAATGGAGCTCCTTGCCACCAATAAAGCCGTCTCCACATGGAACAGCCCACGGCTGTCTTGACTCAGGGCCTCAGAAAACGACGGCATTGCCTCTCCCTGTCTGTCCATCCACTGCACAAGGGGCTGTGGGAACCACCCGTCCGAAGTGCACATCAGCTGCACGTCTCCATCCTTCAGTCCTTCCATGGTGATCAGTGGGGAAGAGCCCACTCCTGGGGAAGAGAGATCTCAGATCTACAGTCAGTGACTTCCCTGGGAGGGAGGAGGGGACTCAGAGGGCTTGCGGGAGACAGCAGATCTTAAGGGGCATCCGCTCCACTCAGACGAAAGCAGCTGGAGCATGTCTTGTCTTGTTTGTAATTTCTGTTTGGGTATTGTTGTTGTTGTTGCTTTGCCAAATCACCCTCGGGAAGATTAATAAGTAAAACACAATTCCATACCAAACCTTTTTCTTCTGTCCCCGAGAACAAAATAACTTTACCAAGGCATGGATCACATGTGCAAGATAAAACATAGTAAGTGTTCTCTCAAACTCTTAAAAATATCTACGTCCAATGGCAGAAAACAACGGAGCCCATTTACTTCTTCATGTGTCCTCCTATGGATACTTGCTAAGTGTGCTTTCTAATTTAGATTCAGAATGCATGGGAAGAACTTGTGTAACATCCAGGATTTTGGCCTGTCTTCAACAGCATTTGCTATCCCTGGAAAATCAATTCTCACAAATATCAGCAGTGAGGCGGGAAGTGGTTTCATCTTCTCCAACTCTGGCATGCATGCCAATCTTCATTTTTGTTTCCATGATAGATCTACTTTTGTCTACAAATTATTACACTTCCTGATAATCGCATTTTTCAGAAATTTAATAACAAAATGAGAAATAATGAGTTCTGTGTAAAATTAGGGAGTAGATGTCCCTAAACATATGGTTACTTTATGGACAGATTGAAAAGAATACAAGTTCTATACTCAAAGAATTAACTTTGGTCCATTTAAGCTTGTGATCTTTAAGTGTCTGTGACAGTTCTGGGCACCAGAGGATTCAATACACATTTGATAAGAAAATTTCAAATGCCAGAGAAATGTCCTAGGAGTTAGCATGTCAATATGTTAGGAATAGGTGTTGAACCCAGGACACATGTCTAGAATCCTTACCTACCACCTTCAGATCCATGCTGGCCTCCTGGTAGACATCATCAATTTCAAAAAGGCACCGGTACTGCCCATCATCTGAAGTCCTGGCACCATGTATCTGCAGTGTCAGTCTCCCCTCGTGGATCGCATCACCCACCAGAGCAGTCCTCCCTCTGTATTCCACCATCTGCTCTCCAGCCACATGGTCCCCGTCCACATACACTTGAACAGCTGGGTAACAGTGGGATCGGACCCACCTCACCTCCATGTTCTGTGCATTCACCTTGGGGGACAGGTAACAGGTTAACTCCACATCTTCTCCCACCCTGACAAGGATGGGATGGGAAGGCCCAATCACTGTTAGGGAAGCTGGTAAATACAAAGACAAAACACAAAGGAAAGAATAAAAGTGGAGTAAATGCTGCCACCTGCACCGACATCTCCAGTATTCAAGAACAACCCCGTGTGATGTCCAAGGCTGGCTTTTGAAAAGATGAGGGTTTCACAGACTCAGTATAGAGGTCATTCTTGTCCAAGGAAAAGCCATCTCATGATGTGTGCCAATCCCAATCACTGATTGAACCACCACTCACCCCTGCCTGTAATTTATTCAGTTTACGGATCAATAATAAAATAATTCCATCATTAAACCTCACAGGATAAAATGAACACTATCACTTCAAATCTGGATGATATTAAACTATTTCTTAATATGTCTCTCACTTTCTTAAACTATAAAAATGTCATATTATTGCCAAAATCATTCAGTTGCTGTGAGATTAAACAAAATGACCAAGATAAAGTCCTTGGATCACCATACAATGTGACCAGAGGAGTATGGGCAAGATGCAAATGCTTTAAACTTGATAATTGGGAAGGAGTTGTAAATGGGTCTCTTGTGGATTTTTAGTAAGATAATTGAAGAAATCTTCCTCATGTTAGTATTTCTGGTACCTCATAAGTCCAGTCCAGCCACCATATTTTATTTCCCCAAGGTTATATGTATGTGAGTTTAAAGACACATACCAGATACAACGTCCTCACATAATTTAGAGTAAAACCTTAAGAGGAAGAATTGGAACCATGAATCCAAGTTCTACCAGTATGGACAAGATCTTCACTGAGGGCTTTCCTGGACCACAGCTGTATAACAGCTTTCCTGGACCACAGCTGTATAACAATTTCAATTCCCACAGGCCGTGCCCTACCAACTTTGCTCTATTATAATTCGAAGGTGCTGAGACCACTTACAATAGAAATACGGGCATACAGTTTCAGATTCTCTGCACAGAAATCAATGGCCAAAAACATAACGTCCTTATTATATCATAGTCAAAATCTGCAAAGCGTATTTCTAGAGAAGAAATTCACTGTCAACACAATTTTAGCATTCAGATTATTCCCTTCTAGTCTATCTAAAATGTGACTCCAGTTATTTCCAATATGTTTTTGCTTTATCTTTTAAAATTTACCAAAAGCAATATTATCATCATCACATGTATATTTGTTAAATCTGAAGACAAGGGTAAGAATCAGAAAAAAATAAACTGAGCAATAGTTTGCTACTATTTTTTCACCCATAAATCTCAAATTACTTAATGGAAAAGGCCATTTCTTCTTCTCTGTCATTGTTAGGAGGATTTTTCCCCTTGTCTGTGACCTGTGGCACATATCAAATCTCAAACCAGTTTACCCTACTAGACATGGGTAATTAAGAGCTAATGTTAGGCCGGTGCCACGGCTCACTAGGCTAATCCTCCGCCTGCGGCACCGGCACCCCAGGTTCCAGTTCCTGGCTTTGGATTGGCACAGCGCGCTGGCTGTAGCAGCCATTTGGGGGGTGAACCAACAGAAGGAAGACCTTTCTCTCTGTCTCTCTCTCTCTCACTGTCTAACTCTGCCAGTCAAAAAAAAAAAAGAGCTAATGTTGGTTTTAATGGGAACTAAAGGAAGCAAAATATAAATATGGAATTCAGTTAATTGGGAGTATTATAGATATACAAAGCTCCCATTTCTCCTGAATTCAAAGTTTAAAGTACTAGGTAAATCATTATATCTTAATATTAATAATTGGTATTCTATACAAATATGATCACCTGGGGAGCTGTATATAATCTCCTTTTCCTATAAATTTTAGCATCCAGCCTTTCACACCATTAGTGCTCAGATTTATTGTCTGGTTTTTTAATATTGGATGTATGTTCCTGAAATCCTTCTGAATACTCACCTGAAAATTAAATCACATCTGGCGTGTGAAGTGCACTGAATTGTGTGCTAATCCCCTGAAACCGGACAGTCTTGTCATCCTACCCTCCCTGTGCTGTCAATCAGCACCTTCAGTGACGTGCTCTCATCACTGAATGCCAAGTTGATTCACCTTACATCCAGTGTAGTAGAACTGGGCACTATCTTGCAACTTAAGTTCAATCTGTTCATTTTAAAGAAGGGAAAAATAGAGACTAGTGGGTTGCCAAAACTGTGGTGACCAAGAACTTGCACTCTTAGGTTAGATAGACAATGATTATAAAGGAAAACACCAGAATTTCTTACAGTTTTCAGCAAACCACACACGCCTCTAAGATTGCTTCCTAAATAGAAAATGAGGATAAATCTGTTAACCTTTATAACTATAAGAAAAAATGAAACAATTCTTACAAAGCACTTGGCATATTGCTTGGAACATAATATTTCAAGTAACCAGTCACTGTTTTTTACAAACCAATAGCATATTTTGCCAGAGTAGGAACTGGAGTTTTAGTCTCAGGACCTGTGAGCAGGCTGGGTTTGCAGCAACCTCGTGTGTGGGTCCTTTCTCTTGGCCTCTAATTCATGGCAAAAGCACAGAGACAGCCACAGAGCACCTGGGCCCTTCAGCCATTCAGCACACCACCCTCCAAGCTCCTGGGGCTCAGCCCTTCTCCCCTAGCCTGACAGTGGGCAAAATGAAGCTCAAATTTTCCACCTTGTTTGTGTTCCCAGAAGTGAGCATGATTTGGGAAGAACCCGACAGGGATTGCATTTTGTGTCCCTGGTTTACAATGGGCATGTGGAGGTGGCTCAGAGAACTCAGGGATGAGTCTTTTTATTTATTTATTTTTTTTGACAGGCAGAGTTAGACAGTGAGAGAGAGAGACAGAGAGAAAGGTCTTCCTTCCACTGGTTCACCCCCCAAATGG